GGGGGGTGAGTCATGGTGCGTCATTTGAATTAAATCGTGAGAAATGACATCCTGCTGTAGATGAGATAGAGTCCACAAAGCTACTTTGTAGCCCTGGAGCAACTGCCCAGACTCGTGTCTCCGAACTTCATATTTTGAAATGGGAATCGAACAATGACTTGACGATGCCGCCACGTAATACGCAAAATACATCATATCTTCACGTAGCCTTCTTCACCCGTTCCACCGACTGCAGCGCCCTTTGAGCTTGACTTTCTGCCATTCAAACCTGGGCAGTTGATCAGAGGCTCGCATAGGTACGGCTGGGAGAAGCATGTCGACGGCCGGCCAAGCGATCCAACGGTAGGGGTCTAACACAAAAAATGGGGTGTGGAGGGGGGAGAGGGGGAGACCCTTTTACTTCAAGCTCCTCTGCAAAAAAGTTTGTTTGGCGTGGTTAAGGTCTATTAATAGCCCCCGTCGTACTGAGAAAGGATGGAAAGGGGCCCCCCCCAACCCTGGAGAGGGCGAATCTGACTTGTCCATTCGTGCCATTCTGGACTCGCAGTCTCCAGAGAGTGGACTGCCATTGGCGGTGGGAGGCGAATCTCTCTCTCTGTCTCTCTATCTCTCTCTCCGCAACTGGACTTATCCGAATCAGGGATGGCTCGGACTCTTTCCAGCTCACCTCACCTCCTCAGACAAACGAAAGGGGGGCCAAGCAGGAGGAGGTGGCTCCATGGTCCACTAGGTTCACCACTCCATGTCCAACACCGAGTGCTGGGGACCGCAGATCTCGCCGCCATCCACAATGACACGACACCACAATGCCATCTGACCTTTCATGCCGATGATCCCTGAGGAATCACCAGATCAAGCCATACCTACTACATTCATGATTACCAGCATGCATTTGTACGGGTACAAGCTCCAGGAAATGCTGGCTTTCAAGTTGGGAGGGAGTACCTTTGGATGGAATTGAGACGCGGTGGTCTCCATGCCGGATGTTTCTCGGTGTAAAGCTTTCGCTCTGCGTGAGTCGTGACAAGCAAAGCAGTCGGATCCATAGACCCCTTCGTCGACAAGTGATTATGTTTCAGCGGGCATTGTTTGGAGTGTCGAAGGTGCCCTTGATGTGTTCGTCGTATGCATCATGCAAGGCTGATGTGAAGGTATGCAAGTAATCATCATCATGGCTGAGTCCAATAGATCCGGGATCTCGGCCGAAGTATTGGTTTTCTGCAGGAAGGCATGTTCTAAAATCAAGTTTTGCCAAGAGAACACGACACTTTGGTGATAAGCCTCGTTTGTTTGCAAACCAACCATGGTTGGTCTAAGGGATTTTTGAAATGGTCGATGGCTACTTCTCGCGATCCCTCAAGGCAAGGCGCTCCAGGATGTCATGGTTAAGTCCGTACTTCCAAAAATCAGGAAATAATTCGGTGACAGGCCGGGATGGCTTCAACTCAGCTCTAACGGTTGCTTGGATGTGTTTTTTTATTATCTAGAGCGCAGGACATCACTGTGGTACTTGGGACCGAGAGGGTCCTCCTTGGGACTCCTGCGGTCCCGTTCCGTCTGGGTCCCCGTGGTCCGCGGCCCGCGGTTTACTCAGCGGCCCCGGCAGATACTCTAAGGCAGCGTGGCCTGCCATCCGTGACTCGAGACTCGGCCCTGTCAAGGACGTGTGATTGTGTGTTAAGACGTGGACGATGCGGGCCATGGCATGACAGCCTTGGATCCGGTTTGCTTTGGGTCGTTTCAGGTAATCATTCTTCCGTACTGTATCTTCTGGCATTGTAGTGGAACGGCTACAAAGGTCAAGGTTGTTGATAATCCTTATGACTAGGCAGAGCTTGGTGATGAGGATGATTTGGAGGTAGTGGGAACTGGTGGTGATCTGGGAAGACCGTCGCTTTCCGTTTAATCATTCTGAGTGTGCCTGTAGGGAAGTGCCAGTCTTGGGGCGAGTCTGAAGAAGAGGAGAAAAAACGTTAGTCCTGGTTTACTGCAATTATGACGCTGACTTTACAGCATGACTATGAGCTACATATAGTAACGGTCTGAAAGAGCATACCGAGATTCAAGTCACGTTGTGGAGCTGAACGTAATGAACAAGGCCAGTATGATCCAGATTTGACTGCTCTCCTGGGTTGTCTGAACCAATTTGAAGCAAGCCCAGGCTATAAGAGGCAATTTCTGAGTCAAAATTGTTTTTCATTTGATCCTAGGCAGACTTTCACAGCAGAATCGGCAGAGAAAGCTGATTTAAGGAGGTATATCCGACTGACGATTAACTCACTAGGCTCAGTGATGTGATCGACTGGTGAAGTACCTATCAGGAGGCAATGACCGGGTTGGGGAAGAAGACACTAAGAGTCTTAACATGACCATAAATCACTGAGGCCTTTCTAGTTGACCCAGCTTGCTTCCTAGCTTCACAATTTCGCCATCACACACACTCTCGCGGCTCGTGGTCGTTCTCATCCCGGATTTATACCAGCAGGACTAGTAACTTTGAAAGGACAACGGCGAGAATTTAAATACTCTATCTAAATACTCTATCGCACTCAAGATACGCTTAGGCGTCGTTATTTCATCTCAGGACATGTCTTGGTATTTATTCCATTGAGCTCCTTCTCTTTTCCTTCTTGGAGGACGTTCCACTGCACAGGTATTCAATGACAGCTTTGCCAGTCTATTTTCAGGTGACCTGCAGTGTTTTAATGAGACTATGCTGATCTGCTTGTTCAGAACGACACGGTTGGTTACTGGCTGTGCTCATATCTTTTGCCACTTAGTGATGCCGTTAATTTCGAACTATTCGCGAATTTGCTCCCAATAGGGTTCAGCAGAGGTCTCGCGCAAACTTGTCGATTCAAGAACTCATATACCGCCGTTAATTCTAGTGGCACCTCAAGTGAGATACAACGATTTCGAAATCAAGGGCAGGTGATATTCAGCGTACTAGACCGCAGTTGGAGTTTAGAGGGCCGGGATTCGCAGTCTCGAGGTGGCGTTTCTACTGCCATTTATGACCCATCATCGTTGAGCCGTCTATTGGGCGCCGTACCATAATGAAGTCTTCGATTGGATCGAGAAGGATATACGTGTATTGAAAATGCTGCCTTCGACTCATCTCATGTGTCAAAATAGATCCCCAAGTCACGTAGAGATCGGCAAACCCCAAAACGAAATGCGCGCCTTATTGTGCGAAGAGTCTGTTTTACCTTTGCCAAGCTGCTGCTTCGAGACACTCAACACTAGTAACGTCGTCTGTCGTTTGCCTGTCACGAATGGAGCCGTTAAAGAGACTATTCAGTGCCTACATTCCACCGTCCAACCTTCAGTCCTCGTGGCAACAGGTTCCGTTGGGTTTTTCAAAATCAATCCTGGTCATATCGTGGGCCGGCAACACGAAGCTGAGTTACCCACGCTGTTTCCCTGAGCAGCTACATGAACTAGTGACACGAGTGCTCTGCACAAAACGCTGTGATCACTTCGTCGTATTGAGAATCGTTTAGTCAACATAGTTGTGTGAAGAGCGGTGTGAGTGCTGCTAGACTGTTATGCTTAGCCTTGGATATCAGAGTGGCATGTGCTGTTAAACGTGATGCCCTGTCTTTCGACTACGAACCGTGGACAACCAGTCAGATGCCAGGTCAACGAAAGCTGTGCTGCCTTCCAGCGGCTTCACCTCGGAGATCTACAACGGACACACCACAAGAATTACCAGAACCAGCCTCGTATATTTACTGGATGTCTGAACAAGAATCTCACCGCTCGATCGCTGCTTCCCTTACCCGAAGGGGAACCATCAAGCGACCCATGATAACATCGTTGGAAGCCCATAAGCAATATCACATCAAAGATACGTTGGCCACGAGGGCAGCAAGTCTTCAGCTCACTGCTCTGCAGCAGGCGTTACTCGATTTGCCTGGAAAGGTATGAAATGCCAAATTCGGCTCCATAGCTCGCTCTTTCCGGCTCAAGGGCGCAGCATCGTCAGCTGGATGGCTGCATTTGATCACGCTACTAGCTTTCATTTCCAGGAGACTGGATATGCTTCTTGTTGGAGTGCCGATGTTCCGTGGACTATCAGAGGTGGGACGAGGGAAAGAGCGTGTATCATGCAAACAACTGTCTGCGGCATCTCTTCCGCTGTCTAAACGAAGTTGCACAGTAAATATAGAGAGGCAATTTGCTGTATCCGGTAGCACGAGGAAAGTCATCTGTGATCTGCCGTTGCATATTTGTGATTTGATACGTCGGTATCCCTTGACCGAAGACGCATGATATTCTACGGAAGATGTACGATTAGAACCGGCTCGGTCTGGTACACGAATTGGAAGAATTTTGCGAAATGGGAGGCCTATATTTCCGCGGGCCGAGCGGACACGGCCGTCAGCCATGACAAGTGATAGAGCCATCGACTTCCTGCGCGGTACTATGTGGTCATTGAGATTCTTGTAGCCCTCATGTGTGTTTAAGGTCAGGGTTCCTCTTCCTGTTCCTTGAGCCGCCTTACTCTGACCGCATCAGTGATTGGACATTGTGGTAAGCCATGGTTGGTTTTTGACCGCAGGGGCTGTCACGAGTGGCTTCTTGTGGACTACGTAACTTCTGTCAACCGTCGGTAGCTCTTATTACTTGCTAGAGCTATCTTGCCTTGAGTAACTGTATGACTGCGTCCCAAGATGAACAGCAATCCAGACGTGTTCAGGCACATCCCATCAATCTTGTGCCTTCCGCATTCGTCATTCCCTAGCCATACCGCCAGCTCTATCTGACCACGTTGATATCTCGTATAATCAACAATCGCCATGGTGTATGACCACGCACAACCGCGGATTCTCGCACCGGGCCGCGTGGGCATACCGTCGGTTGCTTGCATCATGATCCGTCTTTGATGGCAACCCGGTCAAGGGCGGTCTGGGCGTATGATATGCCACCACCGTGAAGTCCAACGAGGTCGTCACAGGCTGTCTTCACAAGATTCTATAAAGCTCTTGCAAGGACTCACATCGATCCTATGCCTGGTTCCGAAGGCTGAGTGGCGTACATTCAAGTTCAGATATTGCAAAGCTCCCGAGACATCCTTCAGCAACTTAGGTTACCTATACTCGAGATCTCTTTGAACGCTCATCATGAGGTTCCTCACATTTTCTCCGTTGTTGTCTTTACATTCTCTCGCGTCAGCGTTGCCAGTGCTAGAGACGCAAGAAGCTGCCAAGTTCCGGTATCCGTGGAAAGACTTCACACTCAGCAACCTCGAATCCGTCTGCCGTAAACAGGACGGAGACCAGCGATACACTTGCACTCTCAAATGTGAGTACTAATCAAACCCGGTTGATCATCAAAACCGTACCCGCGCAATGCGTGGCCTGGGCCAGTTCCACGCAATCCTTCAAGACTAACTTCCGGGGCGGCCGCCTACCTTACCTAGTCGATGTTTACGATTTCAACACGGAAGACGTCGTGGAAGTCAGCGGAGCACATTGCGGCGCGGCCTGGCAATGGGACGGCGTCACCCCAAACCAGGGCCCGGATAACAACTACCCCAGTAACGGCGTCCTCTGCTGGAGCGCCGGTTCAGACGCCTTCCAGTTCAGGGTGGCAAAGTTTCGTTCCGCCTCGAACTTTGAACTCTATATCAACCACTTTTACAGGGACACGCGGTGAGTTTGTACCCGGGCGAACCTTGCCTTCGTACTCGCAAGTCAATTCATAGATTTGTTCCCCGTTCGTTTGGCTAACGAGTTGAAAATTTCGACATTGTGCAGATACTTCAAGCCACCGTATGACGGGAGAAAGGCTCTGGTGAATATTGTCATCCCGGATGCCCATCCTCTTCCACCAGTGGCTCCGTACGTGCCTCCTGTGAATCACTTTGAATTCATCGCGACGGCAACGATCTCGAGGCGCACAGACGGGTTGTCATAGCGGGACAGAGGGTTGGTACTGATGGTGTTGTGTCAGTCCCCTGTGCCTCTTTTAGAGAGTCGTACTGGCTCGTGGTAAGGCGCTCGGTCGGAAGAACTTTTGGTCGTGTTTTAGAACCGCCTCATGTTGTGGAAGTTGAGATGGTTTTTTCGAACCCTGACCGGAATGTTTGTGGGATAATGTGTAGTTCAGCGCAGAGGAATGAGAAAACAAGAGCCCAAACAAAAGAATCCATCGAGATCGCGCTGACCCCTGATGATTGTGAATGTCCAAAGACCAAGATCAATTCACATCATTCATTACTTTGCCTGTCACTCGTTGATGAAAAGTGTCGAGGAACAAGGGAAAAGGGTTGGCGTCAAAGGAGGATAACTCGGACTCGTGAGTTGCATTTAGCGCAAGGCCACCCTTGAGCTTTGTAGCTCATCATGTTCCCAAACAAGCGCCGAAGTAAACGCAATTAAGCTCGCTAGAACAAAGAAGGGTTTATTGAAATTAATAGACATTGGGGTTTGATATGTGCGGGCGGAGCCATAGTTAGTCGGTGTGTTCTCGAACGAGACTACACGCGCGTCTGGCATAAACATGATCGACGAACTAGAGAGCGACACCATTGCTTATCACCGACGATTTGCGGGGATGTTTCTCGGTAGTCGGTAACGAGCATCAAGCTTTTTGAAATCGCCAAGAGATGCAACCTCATGTCTTGTTCTCTCTTGGCTTGTTTTGGACATCACACTGGCGATCGGTCCGTCCTCCATCCTCGCAAACTGCAGGGAAAGCTGCCTTCTTCCCAGGGGCCAGAACAGTGGAGAGTAAAGCGAAAGAAGCACCGATTATGATACAGGGCGGATGATTGACAAATCATATTCCAAGAGACCTTGGGCTGGCATTAGATGCTGCTCTATTGTCTATACCGACGTTGTTAACCAATTACAAGCTGAGACTCAGGAGCGCGTAGATCATGGGGCTTGAGGATGGCAAATCACGGATGAGATAGCATTTGACGACCGAGTGGGAATCTGTGTATTGTTCGTCGAAAGAAGGTTAATCGTTCCTGCACTACACTCCTTCGTGGACCATGACTAGTTGTTGGTCTTCCCGCCGGCAAGTTGCGAAGACGGCACTGGACGGATAAGGGGTAGGGTTCGTGTGTTGAAACGTGCAGATTTGCAATTGTTTTGGAAACCTGTAACCTTAAGTCGGATCAAAACGCGAACAAAAATGTTGGGACGAAGAAGGCCTCCGCCGCGAAGATCCTACGACAAGTTCTGTCACAACTGTCGCACCTGTCCCAGTTGAAGCATTAAGTTCTTCCAGGGGAGATTCAATCCTCGGCGGTAAGGGGGAACCTTTCGAAGCCCGGCCGAGACGTGTTCCCTGGCGAGACGGGCACTTCCGTATGGTAGGACCTGAATCCCGTTCTGTTGACTCGTGATCGGTTTCGTCCCAATCGGCTCTTCTTGCGTTTTCTCAGACCGTTATACAAGCTGCTCCCGTAATCCACATGTGCTTCTGACTTCTCTTCCCTCCATAGCTGGGCTATCTGGCTCCTTTTTCTTCCCCCGCTGCGCTCTCTCACGTTCGGACCTCTGCGAGACACGAACGAACGGCGCCCGATAATATCACCAACCCATCTTTGTGCCCCTCACAGCAAAAGAAACAAGGAAGGCCAACCAGAATGGCTCCTCTCAAAGCCCTTCTGGCCCTAGCGGCCGCCTTCACTGGCATCGAAGCCCGCCTCATGTCCAGGGCAGCCGCGCTCGCCAACGGCGTGCAGATGACGAACATGGCTGCCGACGACCAGCAGATAAACCTTCAGATCGGCATCAAGCTGCAAAATATCGACAAGCTGGAGCCCATGCTCAGGGATGTCTCCGACCCGGACAGCCCCAACTACGGCAAGTACCTGACGGCGGCTCAGGTCAACGATATGTTCAAGCCGGCCGAAGCCTCGGTCAAGGCTATTCAGACCTGGCTCGCCAACGAGAACGTCACAGACGTCTCGTACACGGATAACGGCCGCTTCGTCAACTTTGCGACCAACGTCGGCACGGCTAACAAGATGCTCGGCGCCACCTTTGCGTACTATGACGTTCAGGGCACCATGAAGCTGCGGACGACCGAGTATTCCCTCCCGAACGCGATGACGGAGCACATTGAGTTGGTGACGCCCACGACGTACTTTGGCAACATGAAGTCCGACCCGGCCTTCACAAATGCTCAGCTACCGCAAATGCCCGCGCCGCTCTCTCGCAGACAGGGCACCGGGCCCGGCGCGACCGCCAACTGCTCCAAGGTCTTCACACCGGCATGCTTCGAGCTGGCTTACAACTACGGCGCCTACCAGGCCGACCCGGCGGCAGGCAGCCGCGTCGGCTTCGCCAGCTTCCTCAACCAGTCCGCCCGCCAGGACGACCTCACGGCCTTCCTGGGCAGGTTTCAACTGCCGCCCCAAAAGTTCACCAGCATCCTCGTCAACGGCGGACAAGATCACCAAGACCCCAAGGGCGCCATCGGCGAGGCCAACCTCGATGCCCAGGTCATGGCTGCCGCCGTCAAGACCCTCCCGATCACGCAGTACCTCACAGGCGGCAAGCCGCCTCTGGTTCCCAACCTTCGCACGCCGACGCAGGCGGACAACCAGAACGAGCCGTTCCTAGACTTTTACCAGTTCATGATGACGCAGGAGAACGAGAAGATCCCGCAGGTGCTCTCCGTCTCGTACGGTGACGACGAGCAGACCGTCCCCATAGAGTACGCCACGCGCGTGTGCAACCTCATCGGCATGATGGGCCTGCGCGGCGTCAGCGTCCTCGAGTCCAGCGGCGACACGGGCGTCGGCGCGCCGTGCCGCGCCAACGACGGCAGCAACCAACCGCAATTCACGCCGCAGTTCCCCGCGACGTGCCCGTACATCACCGCCGTCGGCGGGACCCAAGCATTCGGGCCCGAGACCACGTGGGTGGCGTCTGGCAGCGGCTTCAGCAACTACTTCAAGCAGGCGTGGTACCAGGAGACGATGGTGGCCCAGTACCTCCAGACCGGCATCCCCGCTGACGTGAAGGCGTACTACCAGCCCTTTGCCAACTTCACCGGCCGCGGGTTCCCTGATATCGCAGCCCACTCCGCCAGCCCCCCGTTCGCCATTGTCAACGCCAACAAGCTTATTGGAACCGGTGGCACATCAGCTTCTGCCCCGTTGATGGCCGGCCTCGTCGGACTCCTCAATGACGCTAGAATCCGCGCCGGGCAGCCGACTATGGGCTTCATGAATCCGTGGCTGTACAAGAGAGGCTTCAAGGGCCTTACCGACGTCACGACCGGCGTCGCCCAGGGTTGCGGCGGCACGGATTTGCAGTCGGGCAAGCCGTTGCAGGGCTCCGGTGTGATTCCCTTTGCGACATGGAACGGCACTCAGGGCTGGGATCCCGTGACGGGACTGGGCCTCCCCAACTTTGAGGAAATGAAGAAGATTGCTCTTACTAAATAGAATCGCTTTACCCTCTCTCGCCCCGGAAAGATTGGCATTTGAGAGTTCAGTTCAGAGGCTGGCTAGCCTAATCGTAAATACACTTGAATTACTGTTACCATCTCATGCTCCTGATAGAAATATCTTTTGACACGTCAGGCTCTGTGATAGAACTACGGTGTCCAGTAGTAGCTTCAGTTGTGCTTTGCCAAGCTGACGCCAAAGAGAAGGAATCAGCCACGAGAGAATCACCACATGCTAGGGACACTGGCAAAGTGCTCGTGGTCTTGCTCGCGTGGCATCCTGCGAGAGCATCTCGACTAATCTTAGTCTTGTCCGAACCGTACCTAGGCAACTTTGCCTAACCATTGGGGTGTTTTTTGCTGATAGTCACTTGACCATCGCAGACGAGACCAAGAATAGATAGGTAGGCAAAACGCGAGATCAGACGTTGACGACTAAGAAATCTGATTCGTCAGAATCCGACGAAAAGGAAGCGTTTGCTCAAGGTAGGGCTGGGAAGCTGGGGATAAGAGACAAGAGACAAGACAGAGTGAAACAAGACTTTCTTGCTCGACTTCCCCCGAAAGCAACCTAGTTTCAAGGGTCCTGCGATGCGATCCCGGGACCGTGGGAAAGGCTTCACACGCATCTAATGAGCCCGGCTATTCTCGTCGTGTGGCTTGCCTGACAGATTCGATTTCCCGAATTTGACCATAGGTCGTCTTCGGATTTCGATAGCGTGCTCTCGGCGCGTGGCAAGGTCCAAGGTCCGAGCCCCGCGCCAGTCTCGCGGATGGCTGACAGCTGAAGTCTTGGCGCCATAATAGAGGCTTTTCAGGGGTAAATTCGATTCTCCTAAGGAGCCTCCGTGAAAACCTTGAAGTGCAAAATTCTTTCAGTACGGCTGTCTTCTCAGCTGGCCTTTCCGGATATGGAGATGTCGCCGTGTTTTCTCTCGCAAAATGTAGCGAACCGTACTGTTCAAGACGTGAGCGCTTTGTTGATCCGATGCCCCCGCGTCGTTACAACGGATGATTCAGCCAGCTGTCAAAGTCCCAACTCGAGAGTCGACACTTTGTCCAGATGCAAGATTGCTCTTCGTCGTTTTCGCCATGTCTCTTGCTGATTCGAGAGGTTTTGATAATAACCAAAAATAGATTCCTGACCGGCACTTGCAGGTCGAGGCGGGAAAGAAGCTGTCAAAGTGACCAGAGTCTTATCATTTGACAAAGTCGATGGATGTGATATCGAGAATCCAGACCAGACGGTCACAGAAAGCGGGACCAGGCTGCTGCGAAGAGCAGGACGAACCCGTCTCATCTGAGAGGCCGCATCATCAATGTGATGAACTCGTCTCTACCTGCAGCAGCCAACAAGAGATTTCTTCCTTTCAATCGCGCGCCCTACTTGCCTGTCTGTCGCAAGGCTGATGGCATCTCTCCCGAGATGAACACATTTCAGTATAATTATTTTGCGTATGCCAAGGTGGGCTTTCCTAGGAAGACCAATGGTCCAGCAGCCCTGGGCGCAAAAAAGAAAGAGAAACTAGTGAATAAGGGCCTGCCACTTTTCGAAGTTTCTGCCGGCGTCCTCGATGCTGGTCACAGCGCTGCTAGATGCCGCGAGCCTGGTCTCGACCTTTCGACGCAGTCCGACGTGGGACCAGCTAAGGTCTGAAAGGACGGAGGCTGCTCTGTAGAGTTCAGGGCTACAACCCTTGCAATCTTTCACGATGTCCTGAATAACTGGACGACAACTCAGCTCTGGCCGAAACTATGAGTTCGTGAGGTTGGCGAGACGGGGCGTTGCAAGGATTCGATTGGACGGTTCTGGGGTGGAGATATCGTGAACCGGGAAAATTGTATGCGGGATGGCAATAGTCGAAGACGGGATCTGCGCAGGCTCAGGGGGTTGGCTAGATAGGCAGTGCAGAGTTCAGACACGCCGAAAGCTGAACTTGGTGCATAAGGATGACCGGTATTAGGGCTCGTTACGCGAAGAGAATGGCGATTGCCACCTCCATCATCAATTGGATAGAGATAGTGCGCAGAAAGCTGCATAGCATGTATTGAATAAGTTTTGCTCGCGAGTTGGGACAGAGATGAGTCGTACAACCGCTGGGCTGAGAGTCTTGTCGTCCATCGTTTAAGCAGCCCATAGCGGACGCCGGCAACAGGACCGCGTCCTGGGCAGTGTCGATCCAAAAGAGAGTCCAGAGACTTGACTGATTCGGGGCAGGAGGCCGACACTTGCGTTTCTTGTTTCCTTTCAGCAAATTCAGCGTCGTTGAGCCTTTCTTGTCAAAGTCGGTCGCGTCTTTGTTGGGATTCGCCGCACCCATTGTTCAACCTGTTCGGACTGCTCAGGCCTCTAGCGCAGAATCTGGCCGGAATTGCGAAACGACTGCATAGACCCAAGTCGAAAGATGAGGCGATGATACCCAAGTGGATTTGAAGTAGCTGAGGTCATGGGAAAGACCGAAAAAGCGCCACGGTCGGGATGAATGGAAATCGGCGCGACCAGACGTTGGGAACTTCAGACCAATATTCTCCATTGTGCAGCATTGCAGCACAAACGTAGCTGAAAGTCGAGATTTGGACGTATCATAGTCGAGCCTGGTGCCTAGAAAAGCAAGATAGTCGTATGCAGCCACATGGTATCTGCAGCGTTGCAGTGGGTGTTGCGGGCGAGAAAGTTGGATGTTTGATTGTTGTGACCCGAGGCGAACAGGACCAGTAACACAGCTTGCACGCCGGCCGCTTCCCGAAGAGTCCGATAGGGCATTGCGGGTATGCGAATATGCCACTCAAAGTGCATAGGTTCTGGATCACGTCATCCAATGAGATGTGACTTCTTTACCGTGATGAGTGCGCAGCTAAACAGCACAACGACCTATACGTATAATGACATGCTCGTTTCTGCAAGGCACATGCGGGAGGGAAGGTGCCGGTGGAAGGGTGCCGCCGAAGCAACCAAGACAAGACACCACCTCAAGACACAACCTCCCGGGCAACTAACCAAATTCAGAAACGACATCTAGGATCTGCAGCCATCCGTGACTGCGCTTCCGCTGCATTGCAATCTGCATGTATCGCCATCATCACCTTGGGCGGCGTGCGGCGTGCCAGCTTGCCTCCCAACGTGCCAACGTGCCTAGCTTTCCCGTCCCTCCTCCACCCTCTTTCACTCAGATTCCGTCGTCTGCCTCTGCCGGCTTCCTTCAGCCACCACTGTACGACCAACACATCTATCTACGACGTACATGGGATGGGCCTGGTCTGCGGAGTACACACAAACACTGTTCGTACGCCATACCACCCCTGGAAATCGGCAGGACCAGCCAATGTCACAGGTTCAGCAAGCCACTCTCGCCCACCTAATCTCTAGCCATCTCGTCTCAATCATCCCATATTGACAATTTCGCCCGAACCTCGCCACTACTTGGGATGACGATGGTTTCCCGTCTTACGCCCGAATCCTCTCCAGTCATTCTGCAAGTTACCGTCATGCATGGCTCTCGGACGAGACAGTGACTGAGAGCACACCATTCCTGAAACATTGTTGCATGCCTTCGTGGAAAACACCGTATTGCTCCCAAAAAGCAAGCAACAACGGGAAGCCAACTCTATTGGGGTTAACGAGGCAAGAATCCACCTCCACACCGCCAGAGGTGTGCTTCAGGTCGGCCCCCAATACGTGATTTTTTACCACCGCTCACGACCTTCACCGTGGCTAGTGCCAAGCGGAGAACTTTGAATGCCCACCAATCTTAGATGTAGGCAACCAAACACCCTTCTACTTCCTCGAAAAGACCGATATTTCGTTCTAGAGCCAGAGCACACAAACCTTCTGTGAGGACTCGGTCTGAAGATCGCTGTTATCATACGAGCGTCCCCCCACCCACGACGCAGAGACAACGGCAAGCCTAGAGAGACACTCGGCCCGGTCAGCGTTATGTCTCTCCTAAAGTGAGATGCCCTCACAATCCCAGTGTTGCTCGCCCAAGTGGTGGACGAATAAGGTTACCAAGACCTCGGAAGGCCCTGCCAGCTTGCCGTGACCAGGGTTCTGGGACGAAAGTGGCTAGACGCCCAAAACCAGTTGTCCTGCAGCTTGCGGTATACCAATTTTAGCGCCCACAACCACCTTGGCTGGCGCAGGCCAGGTAAACGAGCGGAGGTTTTCAATGGTCAAAGACCCCTCAGAGGCTTGCTTTGCGGCAAGGCTAAGCTTGGTCAGGAAAGGACGGGAAAAATGCCTTTTCCTCTCTCGGCTGTTGATATCAGCTAGCCGTCTTGCGCTTCTTTGCTTACACGACTTCCTTGAAAGCACAATCTAGAGCCTCAGGAGATGGCCGATTTAGACCACGCTAAGTCAGGACAGCTCTGGTCGTTCCTGAGCTAGACTGCCCCATCATCCGCCGTTCCTCTGTCTCTAACCTTTTGTTTTGCTAGCATGTTGTTGATCATCAACATCGCTGGGATTTTCTCTGGCCGGCTTCGACTATTGTGTCTCCGGCGTGGGCGAGTGCCCTGACCAACACTGTCGTTGCCAGTGTCAGTTCGCAGGCAGTTTTTCCGGTTCGATGAGAAGAACTCTTCCGCGATCTTCCCGTATCGTCCCGCTGGCCCAGTGGCCCGTAATCAACTCGCCTATTCCAGATCGGCATCATCATCATCATCATGATGGTACTCGACCAAGGCAACGCCGATGAGCTAGCATACCTTTGCCTTCGCAGGGGTGTTTATGGCTGTTTCTCAGTCTAACGGCTTGGCCATGCAACGCTTGGGGAGGCATCGCTCGTGCGATAAGGCCTCGACTCTCCTTTGTCGTCTCCATCCACGCTACCCCCTCACGATGGGGGAAAGCTTCTCTGCTTCTTTGTACCTGACTACCGGCTTTCCACCCAACGCACGGGTGGCGCCAGCTTTTCAAGCACCAGAGTCAGGAAGCATGCTGCTTGTCACCAGTCCCATCTCAGCTAGGAGTCCGTCTTGAACGGACGACTAAGGCTTGTGGAACCCAGGTTTACTTGCGTGGTCGACCGGCGAGTGCTGGCGAGGCCATCCGTTGTTTGTCCCCCCCTCCTCAATACGATCCTTGACTAACGCCTTTCATTGCCGCATTGGAGGCGCTCATGGCCGCCCATATCGCTTTTGGCGTACTCAGCTAGACCAGACAATATTGCTCTCAGCTCCCGGTGGCCCCGTGTATGCGGCTTGACTAGACCTTTGTCCCCAGGATGGATGCCCTCCGCGCTTGCAGAGTCTCTACTATGGTCCCGTCTCACATATCTTGAACCGATTTCCCGTCCCCCCCTGAACTACTGGTTACCCTGACCAACACTCATTCCATTCGCTCACACCCAACCATCCTGTTCTCTCTTCACCTCAAGGCGGGAAGTGGTTTGATCAGTTTGTGGTTCATTCGTTTCACAGTCTCCACAAGATGAAGGCTTTCAAGACCTACTTCACACCCGACCAGGCGTCGGGTCAACCCGCGCCCGAGACGTCGAAGCCGAATACTTTGCAACCGATTGCACCGCAGCCGAAGCCGCAGGCGGCCGAGAGACCGGCTCCTTACCGGACACACAGCGCCAGAACATCCGCTCGACAGTCGACAGTGAGCTTGGCGCTCACTGCCGGTATGAGGGACAAGCATGCTAGCAGTATCATCGATCTCAGGGCAGATGTCACTGTACACAGCATCTACCAGGACCAGCTCAGGAAGATGTATGCTTCGGCATGGAATTTGGGCGAGGGTGTTGTTCTCAAGAAGGGTCGAAACGATTATGTCTGCGCTCCTCCTCAGCTTTCCACTGTACCCAATGGTTTCTTCGACATGGTCACCCAGCTGAACGTCAGCGTAAGTACTCATAGGCACTCGGTATAATAGTCAATTCTAACCACCTGCTTAGTGTGCCATGACCGTCAACACACCTGTCATCCAGTCCATCATTCACGGACTCCTGAGCAGCGGTGAACCCTTGAACTCGATTCCTCTTGCTGGAGGCTTGCAGCTTCAAGTCCTCCAGAGGATGACCGATCTACCTAGATGTCAGAAGCATCACTTTGCAGCATTCATTCTCGACCCCCCGGTCCTCACCGTTTGGGATGACGATGCCAACAGACTGCATGCTCGCGCGGAGAGCCTAGAGCACATGATCATCTCCTACATCTGGCGTAACGAGGGAGGTGACGAGGAAGATGGTGACGAGAAGAATGAGAAGCAGCCCGGTGTCAACATTGAGGAACTCTCACCAGCCGCGCTTGAGGAGGCTCTCAGGGCTGAGGTTAGACCAGTCCGGCTCACCAGTTCCATCATGGTTTCGGCGGCGCTTTGCTTGTCTGTGGCATGCTTGGGTCTCGGTTACCGTAACCTGGCCCTGGAGTCCACCATCGACGGCAGCTACACGCGTTGGGCACTCCTGGCCGTTACCCCGCTTACGCTTTTCATCAGTCTTGTGAGTATTGCGAAGCTGAATTGCCTGATTGTCATACACTAACGGACCGCAAGTTCTTCTTCTTGTCCATTTCCGGAAACATTTTCCAGATTCTCGGTCCCATCTCATCGGTTCACGCGAACTCCAAGAACTACTCTGGTAAGGCACCGCGCCGCCTTGGCCCTCACCGTGGCGAACTTCCCCACGTCACCATCCAGATGCCTGTCTACAAGGAGGGCTTGAACGCTGTCATCAAGCCCACGGTTCTCTCTCTCAAGACTGCCATCTCCACCTACGAGATGCAGGGTGGCTCAGCCAGCATCTTTGTCAACGACGACGGTATGCAGCTCATCAGCGAGGACGAAGCTTCGGCTCGTAGGGAGTTCTACGAAGAGCACAACATGGGATGGGTTGCTCGCCCCGCCCACAACCCCAAGCCTACAGACCCCAGCGTTCAGCCTTTCATCCGCAGAGGCAGATTCAAGAAGGCCTCCAACATGAACTACGCCCTGATGACTAGCAACAGGGTCGAGGAGAAGCTCAAGCAGATCAACCGCGGAAGCAGATGGAGCCAGGATAGTGAGGATCAGGCTTACGAGCAAGCCCTTGCTGAGGTTCTCGAGGAGTCCGAGGGCCGAACATGGGCTGAGGGCAACATCCGCATGGGTGACTATATCCTTCTTATCGACTCTGACACCCGTGTTCCCCGCGACTGCTTCTTGGATGCTGTCAGCGAGATGGAGGCTTCTCCCGAGGTTGCCATCATTCAGTACACCTCCGGTGTTATGCAGGTTTCTGACTCATTCTTCGAGAAGGCGTAAGTTGATCCAAGCCATCACTCCACACGCACACCAGCTAATTTTCTCTCGCAGTGTCACCTGGTTCACACAGATGATTTACACCATGATCACATTTGCCGTCGCCAACGGTGATATCTCGCCCTTTGTCGGTCACAACGCCATCCTCCGCTGGTCTGCTCTCCAAGATGCCGCTTCCTACATGGAGGATGGCTACGAGAAGTTCTGGTCCGAGTCTCACGTCTCCGAGGATTTCGATATGGCCTTGCGTCTTCAGACTTCCGGTTACTCAATCCGTTATGGTGCCTACACCGGCGATGGCTTCAAGGAGGGTGTCTCTCTCACTGTCTACGACGAGTTGGCCCGCTGGGAGAAGTACGCCTACGGGTGTAACGAGCTGCTGTTCCACCCCTTCCGTTTCTGGCTTACTCGCGGCCCCTTCACGCCCCTCTTCAGACGGTTTATCTTCTCCAACATTGCCTTCTACAGAAAAGTCACGATTCTGTCCTACATCGGCACCTACTACGCTATCGGAGCATCTTGGATTCTTACCCTGATGAACTACTTCCTGACTGGATGGTTCTTTGGCTACTACGACAAGTACTACCTCGATTCGTTCGCTATCTTCTTCTCCATCATCGTTGTTTTCCCTCTTGCCGGCAATGTTGCCCTGGCTGTGCTCAGGTACAGACTGGGCCAGAAGTCCCTTCTTGGAGCCCGTAAGTTTCCCTTTCATTTTCTGCAGCGACATCAGACAGCTAATCATTATATCAATATAGTCTGGGATAACTTCAAGTGGATGCCCGTATTCACCATCTTCCTCGGCGGTATTTCGCTCCACGTCTCCAAGGCTTTGCTCTGCCATTTCTTCGAGATCGACATCCAGTGGGGCGCCACTTCCAAGGAAGTCGAGAACTGCAACTTCATGGAGGAGATCCCCAAGATCATCAAAAGCTTCGCGGGCACGTTTATCTTCACAGCCCTTGGGATCGCTCTCATCGTCTGCGGATACTACGTCTTCCCCGTCCAGTGGCAGATTCGCTACTTTGCGACAATCTTCCCCGTGGCTATCTCCATCACTTCGCACTTCTGCCTCCCGGTGCTCCTTAACCCCGCTTTGATGAAGTTCACCTTCTAAACCGGCACTTACTTTACACGATCATTTAATGAACATACCAATTGCTTTACGTATAGAAATGGGATCTATAGACGGAGTTTAATTTGGCAGAAGAGGTCCTCTACGGAGGTATAGACTGTTGGCAGCGTTTTTGAATGAGTCTCTAACTCACTTTTTCTTTCCATCTGGTCTTGATGATGACGAGCATCGTTGTGGATACAGCATGATTTAATGTTTTCTATCTTTATATATACCAGGCATATCTAAGATGTCCAATAAAAGCAGATAACTAAAAGCGTTCCCATTGAGAAATAGAAATGTGACGGTGCCCTCCAATCCCACTCCACTCCTGAACCGTTGACCTGGCATGCGGCTACTTGATCCATGATCTTTGCAAAAGCATAGATAGCACCGGCGAGCCGACTCTAAAGCAATATTAACCAGCAGATTCGACTGTTCAAGCCTGCACCGAATTGAACACACTCGCAGTTCAAGATTTCTATTCTCGAACTCGACATCAATGAGCCGCATGGTACAGGGCAAGTAAATTAATAAGAGACCAGCAGATGCAACTGATCGTGAGGATCTCATCATCATTATCAAGCCATCGCATATGACAACGATTGGTGTCTCTAGACCTCATGCAAAGAAAGATGATTAGGCAGTCGATAAAATTTCGCAATATTTGCTAGCTAGCAGGTCTTCGCAGACCCAAATCCTGGAAAGCCATAAGCTAACAAACAGCTAACTGCGCATTCTTTCCCCCAAGGTAAAATGATCAAGATTGTCCATGGCTAACAATCACAGTAAAACGCCGTGTAGAAAATGCCCCGCCGTTCTTCAAGCTCTTCTTTTTTTGGTGAACCCAAAACGCCATTCCAAATGTGCCAAACATGAAAACCTAGGGGGTATTGGAGAGCAGCACAACCACCACAGCCATTACCCGTCCAACGGTCCCCCACACCCCTCCTCTTTAACCTCTCATAACAAGACCGACCCGACTCATCTAACTGTTCGTCGCAAAGAGGGTATCTTCGTCACGCAGGTACTCGCCGGCGTCGGATTGCCTGAAGCAGACGACACCGGTGGGATCGAGACGGCGCGCCTCGGCCGTGGAGCGAGCGGTGACGCCGAAGCCGAGGGGCTTGTCGTCCATGGCGTAGACGATGACGCCCTGGTGCTCGGGGCAGTCGTCGGACCAGCGGCCGACGTGGGCCTTTACGATGTTTCCGCCGTACAGGAAGGGCATTTCTCCGTTGGGCTGAAACATTTCACCTCGTCAGCATGTCTGTTCTATTATCCATGTGGACCCAAACTCGGACTCGAATGAATGGGGATGTTCTATCTAACATACCTTGACCCAAATCTTGTATCTTGCGTGCTCGCTGAGGACGGGGAGAGCGGTGACGTGCAAGCGGAACTTGCCAGTCTTTGTGAACTTTCCTATATTGCGCATAAACGTGGGGTGATTAGTCCATGTGTACGCAGAGAGTTGACTGGAGGTTTGGCTTGGTTTGGCTTTGCGCGCAGGAACATACCGAGGCAGATACCGATGCTGAGAAGCTTATCGCGGGCGATGCTGGTCGCCAGATTGGCGACGGAGAGGCGCACATAGTAGACACGGTCCTTGATCATGCGGAAGACGTAGCGATCGGGCTCGGGGCCGTTGTCGAGCGGGGCTATGAGGTTCTTCAGCGAGCTGCCCATGTAGCTGGCCAGCTTGTTGAAGAGGGTCTCGGTCTCTTTTTCTGTGAGGGGACGCATCTTGGGCTTTCTGGTGGTAGTATGGTTTTGGATCGAATGTGCTCGGTTCGGTATCGGCGTGATCGTGTCGGGAATCGGCGAGCTTTGTTGGACAGGATCTTTCGCAGTAGAGGTGCCGTTGCCGAAAGGTGGGATGCAGGTGCATCGCGATGCGAAAAAGGTTGGAGTAGCGGCAGAAACCCAAAAAATTTCGGGCGGTCTGGGGGCGTCCCGGGGTTTCCATTGGCTCAATGGCCAAAACCTCCACTAAAAAGTTCTCGATGGTCCCTCTTTACGCTGTTGGCGGTTGCAGGGTCCCCAAATCAATCCCACCGTACGTCGAGAAATTTCTCTTCCAGCGTTGACGAGAGCATTTCGAAAACCAACGAAGCGCCAGACACCACCGCCCGAATCCTCTCCGAAGTATTCTATCCCTTTCGATTGATATTGCAGACAAATCTGTTATCCCACAATGTCCTCTAGAGCTTCAAAACGCCGCAGGCTTACGCCGCCGCCCGAAGACGAAAACGACCACACCGGCAAATCGTCCAAGAAGATCCAAAAGTCCTTCTTCAAGAGCGCAGCCGGCTGGAACCTAGAGCAGGACTACGAGAGCCGCCCGCGAAAGGGAAAGAAGGACAAAAAGGAAAGCACCCGTCTGCCCATCAAGACGGCCGACGGTCGCCTTGAGCAGTACCGGTCCCTGCAGGGCGATGAGAACAACGACGATGCCGACTCGGTCGGGAGTGACGGCGAGTGGCTCGAGGGCCGCGAGGACGAGGAGGCCACCGCCGAGGCGGCCAACGAACGGCTGCGCCAGGATCGTAGGAAAGAAGAGGAGGAGTCGGACCTGCCCGAGCCCGTTCAGATCCACCAGGCCAAAGAGGAGCTCGCCAAGATCGCCATGGCGCTGAACGAGGATCCGGAGGAGAACGTCTCGGCCTTCAAGGCCATTGCAAAGATTGGTCAGTCACGCATCCAGGCCATCCAGAAGCTCGCGCTGGCCACCCAGCTCGCCGTCTACAAGGACGTCATCCCGGGTTACCGCATCCGGCCCGTCGCCGAGGACGCCCCCGTCGAGAAACTCTCCAAGGAGGTCCGGAAGCTGCGCGCCTTTGAGCAGGCCCTCGTCTCCGGGTACCAGGGCTACGTCAAGGAGCTTGCGAAGTGGGCAAAGGCTGATATACCGACCACGAGGAAAACGGGGCAGAGTATCTCGAGCGTCGCCATCTCGTGCGCCTGCACGCTCGTCAACGCCGTCCCGCACTTCAACTTCCGCAACGACCTCCTCAAGATCCTCGTCAGCAAGCTCTCCAAGCGCAAGATCGACGCCGACTTCCACAAGTGCCGCCGCGCGCTCGAGACGCTCTTTGTCGACGACGAGGAGGGCCGCCCCTCCATGGAGGCCGTCTCCCTGCTCGCCAAGATGATGAAGGCCCGCAACTTTGGAGTCGACGAGAGCGTTCTCAACCTCTTCCTCCACTTGCGCCTGCTCGACGAGTTCGCCGGCAAGGCCTCGCAGGACCGCGTCGACCGGGAGCGCGACCCGGGCGCCCCGCCGCCGCAGTCGCGCAAGAACTTCAAAAAGGAGTTCCGCACCAAGAAGGAGCGCAAGATGCTCAAGGAGCAGAGGGCCATCCAGAAGGACATGGAGCAGGCCGACGCCCTCGTCAGCCACGAGGAGCGCGAGCGCATGCAGTCTGAGACTCTAAAGCTCGTCTTCGCGTCCTACTTCCGCATCCTCAAGATGCGTGTGCCGTGGCTCATGGGCGCCGTGCTCGAGGGCCTGGCCAAGTACGCCCACCTCATCAACCAGGACTTCTTTGGCGATCTTCTGGAGGCCCTGAAGGACCTCATTCGCCACGCCCAAGAGGACGCAGAGGGCAACAACCGTGAAGACGACGACGACGAAGAGAACCAAGACGAACAAGACGATGACGACGACCTCGGCGGCGCATCTCGCAACACGAGCCGTGAAGCCCTCCTCTGCACAGTCACAGCCTTCGCCCTCCTCGCAGGCCAAGACGCGCACAACTCCCGTTCCGCACTGCACCTCGATCTCTCCCACTTCGTAACCCACCTCTTCACCTCCCTCCCCTCCCTCTCCCTCAACCCGGACCTCGAACTCACATCCAAGTCCCTCCACATCCGCCCCGCCCAGGCCGCCGCCACCCGCGACAACCGCGTCAACCTGCAGACCACCACCGTCCTCCTCCTGCGCTGCCTCACGGCCGTCCTCCTTCCCGCATACCAAATCCGCTCCGTCCCGCCCCTGCGCCTTGCGGCCTTTAGCAAGCAAATTATGTCCGCGGCGCTGCACATGCCCGACAAATCCGCGCAGGCGGCGCTCGCGCTCATGCAGGACGTCGGACACACCCACGGAAAGAAGATTGCCGCGCTATGGTGCACCGAGGAGCGCAAGGGCGACGGCAACTACAACGCCCTCAGCGACAGCGTCGAGGGCAGCAACCCGTTTGCGACGACGGTGTGGGAGGGCGAGCTGCTGCGGAGGCACTTTTCGCCCAAAGTTAGGGAAGGTGTCAAGTTATTAGAAAAGGAGATTAATAGCGCATGAGCATGAGCATGAGGTGTAGTTGGTTTGAGGCATCAGTCGAAGGTAATGTAAAAAGGAGTTGGGAAACATGGGGAAAAGTGATAAAAAGGGGTTGCCTTTTTATGGGTGTTGCGGGCTTTGGCATTTAGAGACCACGTACATATTACATACACCGCCCATGATCACAGGAGCCATCTTCAGGTTCGATCATGATACCTACCTTAGTAGTGTCTATATGTCTCATGTTGAATCGAGTCCTGGCATTCATGGTATTTTGAGAAACTGTGGATTGACTATTTACCTAGACTGCCTGTGAGGTATCATTCCTGAGCAAAGTGACCTGGGCAGCGGACTATGTAATACCCTCAGAAGCACAAGGCGGCTTCTGTACGAGTTATGTCGTTCCGCTTCCCCAAGTCGAGAAACCCCCAAAGCCAATATCAAAGCCAACCTTCCATCATCATCTTCATCATCAAAAGTCTCTGCCTCGTTGAATTCTCACGATCTTCCGACGCTGATGCTTAGGGGCTTCCTCCTTGCCCCTTCTCTGTAGCAGCTCAAGGTCTTGCCGCTACAAGGCATCATTGAAGAGCGCTGAGAGATCAGAGACGTTGTCGTAACTTCAACAATCTGAGGACACGGCTGCGGAAGTTTGCCTATCCTTATCGCGTCCATTTCATATCAGAGTAGTGCCCCTCAAAGAATTCGCAATTGCTGCCCTATCACAACAGGGCATCGATGAAATAGTCCAGAGTCGGCAACGGTGGGAAATGCATCTCAAGAACGATTCAGGCCCACATCGAGTCGTTGATGCCTCTGCGGCGATGGGCAGACGGCTGTGGGATTGGAGCACCAGCCAAAGGAGGACCGGACGAGTTGTTGAAGGCGACAGCCAAGTTGTTCGAAGCGCCGGTCGAGTTGTTCTGATGGCCAGATGAATTAATCTTCCGAACGGGCACGCTCTTCGAGGGACCGGATAAGCCGTTCGGATCCTTCCATTGAATGACCTGTAGATGATCGTCGGGGTCATCAACAGCGGCAGGGCTAGCGCCGAAGTGCAGAGGGTATTGGGCAGCAGCCTGAAGCAGTTTGGGGCAGTCGGGGTTCGAGTGCTCGTGGAGGATAACGTTGACTGCGAACTTGTTCTTCACTGCATCTGACGCACCTTTCATGCGAGTGAGGTCATGATCGCCGTCAGAATCCGTGTTGTAGCATGAAGCCGCCAAGCCAATAATTGGGTGGCTTCTCTTAGGGCAGTTGCAGTAGGGTTCCTGCATCCGAGGCTCCGCTGCTTTCTTTTTGTCGGTCGTCTCCTGTTGCTCAATGAAGGACTCAGTGTTGTTGATAATTCCGGAGTGAGCATCAGTGACGGGCACAGCGCCAGACTTGTTTCCGACTTCTTGAGCCATCCGAGCGTGGAACTCATGGTGGCCAGGAAGTTCCCGACCACTTTCGAGCTGCGCCAGAGCCCATTCGACGGAACCGAACTTGAGCTCTGGCTTAACAGCAGAGGTCTCAGTCTTCGTGGAGAAAGAGGCTTCAGCATATTGCTTGTTGTCAACGGTTTCATGAAGGCTAGGAGCCTGTCCATTCTGGTTAGACTGCGGCTGTGGCACCAACTCAATGTCTTCGGCAAAAAGAGCGAAAGCTTTGGCATTCAAGTTGGAACTGGCAGTAGTTCCCACTCCGCTCATATTGTTCTGCTCCCTGATGACTTTCGCCTCGTGAGCGATCCGCAAGCTCCTTCCTAAGCCACTGGGCTTCGAACGGACGGTCGTCTCTGGAGGGACGACAGCCTCCTCTTCCAGAGAAAGCGGAGGAGCGCTAGATTGAGAGACGGCTTCAGTGTTTCCGGATACGGCGGCTTTCGATGTCTCGGGGCTATCAATCTTGGCGACAGGTACGCTTGACGAGGCACGGCTGTTCGGAGTCTCCTTGGGAGGAGCGGCAACCGGGCTAGGCTTGGGCGTAAGCCAGTTGGCGAGGTCCTGGTTGATTGCTTTTGGAACATCAGAGCGAGCAGGAACCATATTCGCGGGCATCGCCGGCATCGCCGGCATCGCAGGTGTCGCAGGCGTTGCGAGGCCAGGCTGAGGAGACTTTGTGTTTGCCAGCCAATCCGCGAGAGCGGGATTGACGCGAGTGACGGCGGAAGGCTGGACTCTGGCTCGATTGACTTCCGGCTGCGTGAAAACAGCACGCGAAGAAGCGGGCATAGGACGGTCTCCGAGGATTAGCAAATTGAACAATGTACTCCCAAGGAGTCAACTCACTCATCTGAGCCGGAGGAGCATCGTATCGAGTAGGGGCGGCTGCTCTTCCGATGCCGCCAGGCCTGCTGCCACTGCCGCCATCGTTCATGCGTCCTCGTCCGCTGTTCCTGCCCCGACTACTGCCTCCCTTGGCTTTACTGAACTCTGCGGCAAGAGCTCTTGCTGCTGCCATCTGTTCAGCCTGTTTCTTGGGGTCCATGTTGCCAAACATCTTGGTAGCACGCCCTCTGTAGACCCGTGAGGCTGATGTTTCGGAACCTTCTCCAATAGATACCTAGTGATTTGGTTAGTATCAAAGCCCTCCTTGAACCTGGCCATAGCCTGGAAATTTGTTGGTCATTGGTGTAGAAGCATTCAGCAAAGGCAATGCAGAAGATGTAGAAAGTGTTGAGGTCGAAGATTTCAGTACAGAGTGCCGTAATAGTGTGGAAGGCATAGATCGACGGAAAGGCATAGACGCCATAAAAATCAAGCTCGTTATCTTAGGGAAGGGGCCTTCGGAGAGAAATACCCCCAATCCCAGTAGATAAGCCTTGATAAGGAGCAAGGAAGGGGATACTTAGTACTGACCTTGCTTCGGCAGATCGCCTTTCTCGGTTGCTGTAAAGAGAAAACTTGTCTGTGGGTGTCCTGCTCAATGCGGCGTCAATGTAGATTTTGGCCAGAGACGGCGCCCAAGGAGGGGAAATCCGATGTGTTTGGATAAGAATTTAGGTAGGTAAAGCTGGGAGAGAGCGCCGAAAAGATTCAGTCGAGTGCAAGGACACTAGACTGTCTATGAGATGCAGAGAAGGAGCCTTACCTGGTGGTCAAGTGAGGAAGGATAGCTTGCCTTGCCAACCTGGAAAAATGGGAAGGTAAGGTTGCTGGAACAGGTAGTCTTCGAGGAAGGTAGGAGTTTGGGAGAAAATCGAGGGCAAGCACAGGTGGGCTGCTCTGGAGAAAAAGTTCAGAGTAAACAAATTGAAGTCACCCGGCTTGAGGCATAGAGGAAAATGAGACGGCAACAGATATTGAGACGAAATGGGTCTTTGGAACAGTTGCTGGGACGAGTATATGGGACTGAAGGAATGTTTTTGTTGGGACGGCGTGAGGACTATCACCAGATGAAGTTGAAGGGTAGAATGATGCTGCTATTCTTGTGTCAAAGGGCCACCGATTCATGTGGGAAGGCTTGACGGGCTGCTATGCTGGGCGTGAAGGGCTAGATCATAGCTGCAGCAGAAGTAACAAAAAGAGAAAAATCACGGAGCTCTTCATTGTGTATCCGCCTTACCTGGCACTCGTCAGCTGATGGTCATGTTAAGTAGGAAAAAGAATGCATCTACTTAAGATATCAAGCAGGAAGCCAACATAATGCCAAATCACCTGTACAAGACAATCTTAGCCTACATTTGTAGGCGTTGTCGTTCCTCTTCGGTATCATGAGTAGATTGGGAGAAGCAGATGAATTGACAATCGGTCCCCCTATTGATTAGACTATTTGGCATATGCACTCCTTCAAGTAAAAGCCAATTCTGTATGGCAAAACCTAGCAAAATATCGGGATTCACGTTGGTAGGTTGACTTGCAGTACTGGGCGATGTGTGGGTATCTCATCTCCATCTTTTTTTCTCTGTAAGAACGCTCCCAAGTCGAGTAGAAATTTTGCGTCTCCGATCATCTCACGCTTTGCCGCTCTTCTTGGCCGGAATCATCTTTTCTTCCACCTTCAACTGCGTGGAACGGTAGACAGCATCTTTTGCCTCGTCCAACCAAGTGACGTGGATAGGCGAGACGTGCTTCTGAACGTAGTCGATCAGCGCCTTCGACATCGGGGCGCCGACCCGGATTGCAATCGACGAGACCCTCGGGATACCGACAGCAGCGCTGAGTTTCTCGGCACATGGCTTAGAGTATCCAACCAGTCTTGTTGCAGGCGCTGTTGCAGAAGTGTTGGAGGCAACAGCTACCATCTGGGGCAATTGACAGTTGAAGGCCGATGACTGGCCGGAGCGGGCGACGAAAATAAGGGCGTACGGAGCCGGGGTAGCTGCCGTTGTGCTGGATCCATCGGTGTCTGGTCCTGAGCCTTGCTGCGTCGATGCGAGTCTTTCGAGGTTGCGGGTGATGCTTGCCAGACCAACATCGACGAAGGAGGCGATTTCTGGCAGTGGTGGGCGTTCGCTCTTCTTGGGTTCCTTGCCAGTAGCTCCCTCTTCCTTTCTCTTCCTTTTGGCGGCCCGTTTGCCTTCCGAAGGCTTAACGTGCCTTTGGCGGTGTTGGCCTAGTGGTGTCAACAGACTGTGTCTGGTCAGCTCATTTCTAATATAGATACGTGCTAGTAGCCCGAATATGAAAGTTGGAGACGTACCTGCAAAGCAATTCCAGAATGGTATCTTGATCTTCAAAGGTGACCTCAGGCCTATAGTGTGTAAGTAATTTGGGTACCTTAATAAACCCGTCAAAAGCTATCCTACCATTGTACTGCTGAAAATGGTGTGTCAACTGAATGCACCAACTTTTTACGCACTTGGTTTGCCATTATGGTGTATTGCTCAAAGTGACCAGACGTCACGATTGGTCGTTTGAAATATAAGTCAAGGACTCGAGCCAAAAGCGAACTTAGTACCGTACTCCAAAGGGTGAGTTTCCAGGTGAATTAGCCGAACGGGGCAGATGAGTAGAGCGTAATGGTAGCCCCGAGAATCTCGGTTGCAACTGAGAGATGTTGGACTTGATGGTCCACTGAAGGTAGCTCAGGGGCCGACAAACTAAGACTTGAAAGATGGAGTTGGGTGGCTGGTACTCGAGAAGGTCAAATCGTGGATGTGTATTGGCCCGTAAAGCCTGGTCGATGCTGACAGGAAACAGCAAATAACCGAGATGAGCTTGGCTTTTGGCTTTTAATATCGGAGTAACGATAGCAAAGGGTGCTAGACCATTAGTTGTTGACCAAGATGCACGGCTTGAAGGATCAATACCAACAGCTGTGAGTCGTTGCCCGAAGAAAAGAAATAAAGACAAAAATAAAACTCGTCAGTCGGGAACAGCAAGGGGACTAATTGGCCTTAGCGGCCGATAGACAGATAAGCGAGGTGGCACTAGCGCCACATGATGGATCATCAGAGGGGAAGGAAACAGATGAACGGGCATCGAAAGCTTCAACTTTGGAAGTTGGAGGGTGACGATGAGTCGGATCAGCAGCTTGGCGGACGGCTGGAAAGTAATGTGGATAGTGACAGAGGCTGGTCCTTGACTCGGGCCTTTGGACATCCTCTTGAGGTCTCTAAGGTACCTGATCCCGATGATGTCGATGCGGGCCGTCGGCTGAATGTCGACGTTGGGGTCGTTGAGGCGAGTTTGCATGGACATGGGCCGCTAAGAATACCGGCCCCGCATGAGCTCCAAGCCCCTCGAGGGGGCACGGACGGACAGCTGCGGGTGGAAGAGCCGGGTCGCGCAAGGGTCGCTGAGAGGCCGAATGCGACGTTGAGTTGTGACCAGAGTGAAGGAAGCTTTCCATGTGTCATCCGGTCGGTTCCAATACGAGGCGGACTTCAAGAGACAGCATACGAGACGACTCAAATCTGGCATGGGCTTCGGGCCGGGTCTGAGGGTTCTCTGCTTAGGTAATTTACCCTCGTCATACCTACGGTGGCCGAAGTGATGACAAGCTGGAAATCCGGCTGGTTCCGTACAGATACTCGTATGGATGGGACTTAATCGGAGCATGGAGGAGCCCAGCTTTGGGTCGCTGCCTGCTAGGAGCAGCCGGTGAACCAAGCTGCCCATCCAAGGTCACCTCTCGCCCAAAGAAGCATGGAGCACTCTCTGTCGAGGTTCAGAAACTTCTATCTCGTGCTATTCGATGGACTTCGGCACTGAAGACGATGCTGTTCGAGCTTCCATCGGCGTATCATGACATGTCAAATAATATGAATTGACTAACTCTAGTCAGTGGGTGCTGAAAAGTGATTATGATATTTGACGGCACGCCCTCGGCCAAAATGCCATTGTCGCATTTCCAGGGCTCAGGCCAAACTTGGAGATACGAGCACACTCACCTTCAAGTCACGTATGAGCGTTGGAATGTTCCTTGGCAAGCTGCCCCACTGTCAACGTTCTTGGGCTACCCACCGGGCCCTGTACCTGGATGCATTGATCAATGACAATGCTTCATCTTTTTTGTCTCGCGTTGCTCGGGAGCATGGCCGTTCCTTCTTTGACCTGGGTGCATTTCGTGAATGAAAGACCAAGTTCTCTCCCTAGGAAGGGACAAGAAAAGAAGTTTCTCATATAATTGACCGCTACTTGCTTCTAGATAGCATCTTATTATTTTCCTGTCTATTTGTGTAACTTAAGTTAGGCAGGTACAGACAACAATCTGTAAGAAGAAAGGCAATTTGCTCCTTCATCGCCTGTCAGCCACAAACAGTGGACCAATTGTAGTATCGTTCCATTACGGAGTGCCTAAGGAGAGCCTGCCGCTCGTCTGGCGCCAATACGTCAGATTGTAATTATTCTCCAAAGCGAAGTCTGGGATGCCTTGGATAACTTCAGTGCTTTACTTCAAGGCGAGGTGATAGTTAATAAAGGAAAAGAGAGAGAAAAAAGCTGCTTCATGTCGCTGCGGCTTTATGTGTCGCGAGAGCTTGATGTGCCATTTGCAAGGGAAGGGTACCTACGTACCTATGTACGTCTGGAAGGTCCCGTCATCTCTGGCCGTCTCCACTTTCATCTCTGCTGCCTCAGGTACTTGGTACCCTGACTACCTATTCGTAAGGTACCGTGAGGTAGGTATTCTCCTCAAGCTTGAGCCACACGGGCACCAAAGACCTCGCATTGCACCAGCACCCCACCCCGCACCTATCATCTCGAGGACCTTATCGTCCAAAAGCTTCTGCCAGCACCTCATCCTCAACCACTCTGACCGGCGGGCGCTGTCTAAGTAGGTGAGCAAGAGAGACCCAGAGAGGTATGCCTTTTTTTTCTATCACGTAACGAGAAAATTTCTGTAGAGGCAGACATTCAATGTTCATCTAACACCTCTCTTCAGACTCAACCCAGCTCTTTTCACCTGGACATCTTTTACCCACGCATCGCCCTGATACCTACTTTTAGCCCAGCTCCTCGGG